TAAAGCTGATCATTTTGTGTTTATTTTGTTTAGTTCTTTTTTCGTAACAGATTTAATGTTTAGTATAGAGCTTAGAAAAAATTCGCAGTGTAAGATAGGCAAGAAGTAAGGCATGTAGCAACATCAGCACGGCAAAGGGCATTCCTTTAAGGAAAGGCAAAAATATTTTAAGTGAAGTGATAGCGATTGCTGTATGAGTCGTACGATTTTTGAATCAAGCACGGACAACGCCGGGCCATGCTGCTAGTTATAAATTAAATTAAATCTAAATGCAATTTCAATCGCTATCTACCGTCTTCCTGATTACGCTTCTATTGTTTCTTCGCTATCGTAATGTTTTCTGTTTTCTAATTATTCCGCGCCCAGTAACCCCTTGCGTCTTAGTGGCTTTATTACCTTGCTTGTAGTGAAAGCGATTAAAAAAATGTATGTAAATTACGTAGATAATTTTAACTACCCAACCCAGTAACTAAACAGAAAAAATCGATTTTATATTAAACATTTTAAAGGAAACTACATTAGCATTTGAAAATTATTATTTACGGGACCGATTTTTTAATATATCGTTTATAGTCTTCTAAGCACCCACAATTAAAATAAAGAAAGAAACAGATTGAATGTTTTCATACTTACTGAATTTTGTTTTAATTAAAATTAAAAAAATGAAAGTTTTAATTTTATAAATACCTAATTTTTTTGAAAAATTAAATGCAAGTTCAATCGACATCTACTCGCTTCCTGATTACTCTTCTATTGTTCGCGTTTCTTCATAATTTTTTTCTGTTTTCTAAATCTTCCACACCCATTAACCCTTTGTATCTTAGCGGCTTTATTACCTTGCTTGAGGCAAGGACGATTAAAAAATATCATGTAAATTTTTAACTTTAGATTCCAGTGTTGCTTTTTTTTCTTATCTAAGAACAAGTTAACCTTCCTCGAAATTAAATATCAATAAAACTCACACTTTTTCGTTGAGTTCATAAAAATGCTATGGAAATGACATAAGACGATGTCAGCAACCCCATTTTTTTTTCAGACGTTGACCTAAGAATAGCAAAATGGAAATCAGCAAGTCACCCAGGCTAGATTTTTTTTTGTTTTTAAAGATCCACATCGGTGAAAAACGTGGAGAAAGCCAATCAGCTTATTAGTAATTTTTCGACGGAATTCAACAATGGAACCTGAGGGAAAAAAATAGGGGGTTCAGTTTGCTATGTAAAACCATAGTAAATTGATCCCCCTTACGGAATCCAAAACAAAATACGTTCATCCGACATGCTTTCTTTAAAGGGTTTACGGCCATATCACGTTGAAACCTCGGTTCCGGTATGATCACCGAAGATGGGCAACATCAAGCTTGGTTAATACCCGGATGGCTGATCGCTTGGAAATAGAAAGTTCTGTAAACTTGGATGTGTGGGTGGTGTAATGGATAGTGGTTCGGAATTGTTAATTGGAGAGCCGTGTTCAAATTCCAGTTGGGTTCATTATATTCACATACGCGCAAATACCCTTGGAAAAGGGCATGAATCCAGCTCTCCTTCCCCCAGGCATAGGTTACTTAGGAAAAGTTGCATCAGTAAATCATTGTTATCTAAAATACAATCTTTCAATCTAAAAATCTGGCTTTAAATAACCTGCAAAGTGTTGCTAAGCGTAAAAAAAAAACGAATCAATCAATGAATTACTTTTTAGCTACGCAGACATGTCTTTGAGATTTATTTATATTCTCTGGAATATAAATAGATAGAAACTACAGTGATCATAAAATGAGGGGTCAGTTTATATATTGATTGCGATATAGAATTGATACCCCGTTTTATACCCACATTATAATTTCTTTTCGGCATGTCTTTTAGATTTATTTACATTCTCTGGAATATAAATGGATGGAAACTACCATGCCCACAAAAGACGTTGGGATATAAGGACTTCTACACACACACATATATATATATATATATATATATAATTTGTTATATATATATTTATATATATTGTAATATAGAAATGATCCCCACTTTATATCTATATTATAATTTTTTTTTTTTTTTTTAATGAGATTTCTCGAATATTCACGCTTGTTGACGACTATATATATATAAATATATATATATATATATATATATATATATATATATATATATATATATACTATTTAATAAATATATAGACCGTTTACTTAAATATGAGTATCCACTAACAATAATGTTTTAAATGATAAATATACTAATTTGCACAATTAATGGTCGAATGACAATATCTAATAAGCCAACTACAGCCAATAGTGCAGAATATGCAACCTAACACTGCTAACCTTCAAATAATCAATTTAAGCCGACGCGAGAAATAGGCCAAAGAAAGAATATGGCGACATTTTGCGCCCAAAACAGCCCTCACTAAAAGCAGTTTAGTTGATATATATCTTTGCTGGAAAGCTTTGAGGAATTGCTAGAATACGTACATGTTTTTGCATATGTCTGCCACTGCATTAGGTTAGTAGCCCATGCCATTAAACGTGTCTGATGAATACGAAAATCTATTCCCGCCAAAATCTCGGCGTCGGCGCCAAAAAGGCGCGTTATTGGTCATTATCTGTCCAATCGATGACGAGCGTCTGTGGTGATATTTCATCCGGTCACGTTTAGCGCGTTACCACGTGATAATAAAATGTTCAGTGGTTGCTGGTGGTCTCTTGCCGGATATAATGTCCGGAAGGTCAGTTAAATGGACAGTGGTCAGTAGCCAAGACCGGAGAAATTCTCGGGAATACTCGTCGTAACAAGCGAAAGGATTTAAAGAATGAGTCAATTCACGTAAGGGTGTCTTTACACAAATGAAGGAGTTATAGCAGTTTGACTCATTTGTAAAAAATTCATCTAGTGTTGCGTAAAACTAGATACTTATTTCAAATCAACCACGCGAAAGATAAATTAAAATATATACAACAAATTATGCAAATCAATATATATATATATATATATATATATATATATATATATATATATATAAGCAAATATATGGATATAGATCCGACAGTATGAAGAAAAATATTTGTTTGTTTTTCTGTATTTTCCTTTATATATATATATATATATATATATATATATATATATATATATATATATTGACATTGAAGCCCACACTCAGAGGCGACAAGCTGTTTCATGCTAGACGCAATGATGCTAGGCTGCATGACGCTTGCGCCTAGCATGAAACAGCCTGTCGCCTCTGGAGTGTTGACGTCAATGTTTACTTTCATATTTACATAGGGCCTATCTCTGAGATTTAGCACTTTATCCTATAAATATAGCACACCTTAAAACTATGTTACTTATATATATATATATATATATATATATATATATATATATATATATATATATAAAGAGAGAGAGAGATCGCTAGTGATTTAGGCATCTGAACATAATTCATATTTATCTATTTCTTATTCATTTAAACCGTTATTTAACTCCTCTTTTTCTAACTTCTCTCTGTTAAATTTTAATTCCCACCTTCATCTTTAGGCTTTCCTGTTCTTCTTTCTTCTATTACCCCTCTCTCTAGTGCTTTCATACATTTCCCTCCCACACTTGTTTTCGACACCCACACATACACTCTCACTGAAATTTTGTTTTTTATACCCGGAGTTATATTTTTCGATTTCTTTTTGAATTTGTACGTGTGAGGAATTGATCGTGATTTCGATTCCAGTGTAATGAATTATAACCGTGGAATATTAGTGTTTAGCCTTATATATATATATATATATATATATATATATATATATATATATATATATATATAATACAACGTTAAACATAAAAAAAATGTCTTTAATAAATAAATTTTCGGACCTTGTCCATTTTTTAATATATGACGTCATTTGTTTACATTTGATACGCCAGAGCAGTTATGAATGTACGAGATTCATGGAAGATTGAAGTTTATAAGCAGTAAATTCGACCTTGTCTACCGAAAGGTTCTTTGTTGCCCAGAGGTAAGGCACGTCAGCGTAAATGACGGTTCCGTATAGGAAGCAGGTTCGAATCCTGTCAAAGAACTTGTATCTATAAATAACAACGTTAAACAAAAAAAATGTCTTTTAATATATATATATATATATATATATATATATATATATATATATATATATTAGAATTCCTCATATCAAAAAAATCATCCTATCCGAACATCCTCATATCAGAAAGTCCTGAAATCCAAAGCCCTCCTATCCGAAGGTCCTCCCATCTGAATGTCCACATATCCGAAAGTCCTCCACATCGAAAGTCATCAGATCCAAACGTTCCCCTATCCGAACATCGTCCTATCCGTACGTCATCCTATCTGAAAGTCCTCCTATCTGAACTTTCTCACATCCGAAAATCTTCCTATCCGAACGTCATACTATGCGAATGTCCTCCCATCTAAGCGTTCTCACATCCGAAAGTCCTCCTATCCGAAAGTTATCCGATCCAAAAGTCCTGCCATCTGAACATTCTCATATCCGAAAGTCCTCCTGTCCGAACGTCATCCTATCTGAAAGTCGTCAAATCCGAACGTCATCCTATCTGAAAGTCCTCCATCTGAACTTCATCATATCCGAAATTCCTCTTATCCGAACGTCATCCTATCCGAAAGTCCTTCCATCTGAACGTTCTCACATCCGAAAGTCCTGCTATACGAATGATCTCCCATCTGAACATTCTCATATCCGAAAGTCCTCTTATCCGAACGTCATCCTATCCGAAAGTCCTTCCATCTGAACGTTCTCACATCCGAAAGTCCTGCTATACGAATGATCTCCCATCTGAACATTCTCATATCCGAAAGTCCTCCTATCCGAACGTCATCCTATCCGAAAGTCCTTCCATCTGAACGTTCTCACATCCGAAAGTCCTGCTATAATAATAATCTCCCATCTGAACATTCTCATATCCGAAAGTCCTCCTATCCGAACGTCATCCCATCCGAAAGTCCTTCCATCTGAACGTTCTCACATCCGAAAGTCCTGAATGATAACATACGAAAGTCCTCCTATCCGAACGTCATCCTCCCATCTGAACATTCTCATATCCGAAATCCGAATAAGTCCTTCCATCTGAACGTTCTCACATCCGAAAGAACGTCCTGCTATACGAATGATCTCCATCTGAACATTCTCATATCCGAAAGTCCTCCTATCCGAACGTCATCCTATCCGGAAAGTCCTTCCATCTGAACGTTCTCACATCCGAAAGTCCTGCTATACGAATGATCTCCCATCTGAACATTCTCATATCCGAAAGTCCTCCTATCCGAACGTCATCCTATCCGAAAGTCCTTCCATCTGAACGTTCTCACATCCGAAAGTCCTGCTATACGAATGATCTCCCATCTGAACATTCTCATATCCGAAAGTCCTCCTATCCGAACGTCATCCTATCCGAAAGTCCTTCCATCTGAACGTTCTCACATCCGAAAGTCCTGCTATACGAATGATCTCCCATCTGAACATTCTCATATCCGAAAGTCCTCCTATCCGAACGTCATCCTATCCGAAAGTCCTTCCATCTGAACGTTCTCACATCCGAAAGTCCTGCTATACGAATGATCTCCCATCTGAACATTCTCATATCCGAAAGTCCTCCTATCCGAACGTCATCCTATCCGAAAGTCTTCCTATCCGAACTTTTCAGTGTTGTCATTTAAATGTTATAGGAATTTGGTGCATTTTAATATTGTTCTTTTCTTTTCAGATAACTGTTGGTAAATTGAAATCTCTTAACTCATAATGAAGAAGAAAATGCAGCTGGAAGAAAAATAAAAAGTAAGTCTTTCACGTTACATCAGAAATTAGAGATTATTGAATAAAATGGACGACGCTCCTGATTTGAAAATTAACAAACAAGGATTGCATAATCTGAACGAAACACTAAAACTTGAGCTTGAAGATGATCCACTGAATACTCTCACTTTAGAGGACTTCAAAGATAATCCACTGAATAATCTCACTTTAGATGACTTAAAAGATGATCCACTGAATACTCTCACTTTAGAGGACTTCAAAGATAATCCACTGAATAATCTCACTTTAGATGACTTAAAAGATGATCCACTGAATACTCTCACTTTAGAGGACTTCAAAGATAATCCACTGAATAATCTCACTTTAGATGACTTCAAAGATAATCCACTGAATACTCTCACTTTAGATGACTTAAAAGATGATCCACTTAATAATCTCATTTTAGATGACTTCAAAGATGATCCACTGAATACTCTCACTTTAGATGACTTCAAAGAATCGATAAATGAAGCCATGTCTCCTTGTGAATATAGCAATAAAGATGAGGACAACAGTCCGAATAATGTAAATAATGTAAGACGAATCATAATTTGAAAATTCATCTCAGAGATATAGACAGCCATTATATCACTTAGCTTGAAGATGATCACTGATCTAACCAACGTCTTTATCCACTGGGCCATGTCCTTGAATATGGCAATAAAAGATGAGGACACCGAATAATGTAAATAATGGATAATCATAATAATCTCATCTCAGAGATATAGACAGCCATTATATCACTAGAAGCTAGTAACTGGATCTAAGGAATGTCTTTATCCACTGAATAATGTGTCCTTTGAATATGGCAATGAAGATAATCCAATAAATAGTCCAAATAATGTAAATAATGTAAATAATCATAATAACACTCATCTCAGAGATATATAGATGATCCATTATATCACTAGAAGCTAGTCACTGATCTAACCAACGTCTGTATCTATTCTGGGCCATGTGTCCTTGTGAATATGGCAATGAAGATGAGGATAACAGTCCAAATAATGTAAATAATGTAAGTAATCATAATACATCATCTCAGAGATATAGACAATTTATATCACTAGAAGCTAGTCACTGGATCTAACCAACGTCTTTATCTACTGGGCCATGTGTCCTTGTGAATATGGCAATGAAGATGAGGATAACAGTTCGAATAATGTAAATAATGTAAGTAATCATAATACCTCATCTCAGAGATATAGACAGCCATTATATCACTAGAAGCTAGTCACTGGATCTAACCAACGTCTTTATCCACTGGGCCATGTGTCCTTGTGAATATGGCAATAAAGATGAGGATAACAGTCCAAATAAGGGAAATAATGTAAGTAATCATAATACCTCATCTCAGAGATATAGACAGCCATTATATCACTAGAAGCTAGTAACTGGATCTAAGCAACGTCTTTATCCACTGGGCCATGTGTCCTTGTGAATATGGCAATGAAGATGAGGATAATAGTCCGAATAATGTAAATAATGTAAGTAATCATAATACCTCATCTCAGAGATATAGACAGCCATTATATCACTAGAAGCTAGTCACTGGATCTAACCAATGTCTTTATCTACTGGGCCGTGTGTCCTTGTGAATATGGCAATGAAGATGAGGATAACAGTCCAAATAATGTAAATAATGTAAGTAATCATAATACATCATCTCAGAGATATAGACAGCCATTGTATCACTAGAAGCTAGTCACTGGATCTAACCAACGTCTTTATCAACTGGTTCATGTGTCCTGAAGAAGGCCGGAGCGTACAACGGCCGAAACGATGTGAATATGACAGTAAAAAAGAGGACAACAGTCCGAATAATGTAAATAATGTAAGTAATCATAATACCTCATCTCAGAGACATAGACAGCCATTATATCATTAGAAGCTATCACTGGATCTAACCAACGTTTTTTATCCACTGGGCCATGTGTCCTTTTTATGGCGAAGATGAGGATAACAGTCCGAATAATGTAAATAATGTAAGCTAATCATAATACCTCATCTCAGAGATATAGACAGCCATTATATCATTAGAAGCTTTCACTGATCTAACCAACGTCTTTATCCACTGGGCCATGTGTCCCTCGTGAATATGGTAAATGAAAAAAAAATGCCGAATAATGTAAATAATGACAATCATAATGTCTGCGAGATATAGACAGCCATTATATCATTAGAATTAGTCAGACAAAACCAACGTTTATCCACCCGGACACTCCTTGTGAATATGGCTCAGAAGATAGACCAATTGTCTTTTTATCATGATACCCGATCAAGAGCTGGAATATCATTAGAAGCTAGTCACTGATCTAACCAACGTCTTTATCCACTGGGCCATGTGTCCTTGCCCGGAGAATGAAGATGAGGATAACAGTCCGAATAATGTAAATAATGCTCATAATCATAATACCAAATCTCAGAGATATCATCATTATATCATAAAAAGCTTAGTCATTCTGACATATTAATGTATCAAAATGGGCCATGTGTCCTGTGAATATGGCAATGAAGATGAAAACAGTCCAAATAAGGGAAATAATTTTTTCATTTTAATATGGTGGTCAGAGATTTTTTTTTCATTATATCACTAGAAAGCTTCACTGATTTAACCAACGTCTTTATCCACTGGGCCATGTTCTTGTGAATATGAATGAAATGAAGTTAGTCTTGGCAACAGTCTGAATAATGTAAATAAGGTAAAATAATCATAATCTATCTATCATCATCTATCTATATAGACATCCATTATCTATCACTAGAAACTAGTTACTGGATCTAACCAACGTCTTTATCCACTGGTTCATCTGTCTATCTGAAGAAGGCCGGAGCGTTCAACTATCCGAAACGATATGAATATGATCATAAGGAAAATCTAGGACAAAAGTTCGAATAATGTTTAATGTAAGTCATTCATATTACCTCATCTCAGAGACACAATTTTAACGATAAAACTTTGTTATCTTGTGTGCGTCATTTTTTAATCAAGGTATGCTCTTTTTTAGCGAATTAGAGAAAGTTCATCTCTCTCTGAGTTATCTGAGTCATCGTTGTTTTACGAAAGTCGTTTAATGTCCTTTCTGTGAAACAACGAAATTGAAAGCGACAAAATTATTAATAAAGCTGAAAATGTGAAACTAAAAAAAAAAATGCGGTTAGCGACAACAAATGTCTGCGAGGAATGAACGGGAAAAAATGAATTAAAGACAAAACTGTCCTTTATCACCTCTTTCTGCCCTTTTTCCTTTTCGACATTCCAGTTGTCTTTTTATCTTGATGTCCGATCAAGAGCTGGAATGCCCTCTCTAAGTGTGACCCTCATGTATAGACTGGTCTATTACGCCCGGAGGAACGAGGGACAACGAGACAACTCTGGAGATGCTCGTGTATGAAAGACCAAAAAGCCACCACCATCATCTTACAAATAAAACATTTATCATTCTGACATGTTAATGTTTCAAAATGTACTTGTTTCAGGTACAATGCTCACGATGAAAAAGCTGCTGCCATTTCTTCTTTTTTCTTTTTTTTTAATTTTCATTATCTGTTTTTTATTCAACTTTTTTTTTATGTGGCTTTCTGATTTCAATAATTTGCCGCAAAATTTGATATCACTATGAATGAACGAAGATGTTAAGTCGTATCTCCTGTAGACCTTTTATTGATAAATTTCAAATCTATCTATCTATCTATCTATCTATCTATCTATCTATCTATCTATCTATCTATCATTCTATCTCATTTTGTTTATCTATCTATCTATTTTCTTCATCTATCTATATATCTATCTATCTATCTCAGACTTTTTTTTTGTTAAAAAAACTCAGTCTATAAACATCTATCTATCTATCTTTCTATCTATCAATCTAAAAGTTCTTTTTCTATCTATCTATTTTCAATCTGTCTCAAATTAGTTCGTTTTTGACAATATCTAATCCAGTTCATCTTCTCTTTCTCTCTCTCTCTCTCTCTCTCTCTATGTATCTAGTTATCTGAGCCTGTTGATTTTTATTTCTGTCTGTCTGTCTGTCTATCTATCTATTTATCTATCTATCTATCTCAGCCTATTCATTTTTATTTCTATCTGTCTGTCTGTCTGTCTGTCTGTTCTATTTTCTATCTATCTATCTATCTATCTCAGCCTATTCATTTTTTTGTTTGTATATGTCTAAGTTAAATTTATATCTCTATATCTCTCTATCTGTTTCTTTTCCTTATCTATCTCTATCTCAGCCTGTTCATTTTTTTTCTCTCTCTCTCTAATAAATATATATATATATATATATATATATATATATATACAGCGAGTTAACACACACATATAT